AAAAAAAAAAAAAAAAAAAAAAATTACAGAAACAATAAATTAATTTTACGGAATTTATTTTGTGTGGAAATAATTCCGCATTATATTAATAACAAAACAATCTGACATCAGTTACAACTAAAGTGTACAGATTAGTCTTATAAAAAAAAAAAAAAAATATGTGCAATAATAAGGGTTTAAGTGCAATCGAATTTGTAAAAGTAACTTGCAAAACTGATTGAAACGGCAGAGAGCTTTACCGATTAGAAGAGGTTGCAAAGGTTGATAGTGCAGCGCGAATGTCACCGGGTAAGCGTTGCTCGTGTCCTGGGGTAACACCGTCGCCAAGGCGAGACCCTGATGAAAGCTGGGGCTTTTGGGCAGAGGACCGCCCAAAGATGGACTAATACCACCCACGTGAACCATCGCGTGATATATATACAAGGCCGCTTTACAACTTCACATTCGCGCCTTACTTATGGGCGAATCTCTTTGAAAACGTTGAATTAAACAGTATACTTCGTATCAGTGTTTTCTTACGACAGTTCGTAACACTTCGGATTCATGCATTTGCCAGGATAAGTTTTTCTTCTTGATGTCAGAGCTGCGATCAATAATGTTCTCTCCGTGATTTCGCTCTTCGATTTTCAAAACAACGTCATCCAACTAATTTGAAATTTTATGCATAGAAATTCATTATTTATAATCGAATGCTTGAATATTATTATTTAAAATACAATACGCCGCATCGGTAGATTAATATCTTATTGATTACGTAAACGACACAAAATATATTGATTCTATATTTGTAGCAACCTACTTTTTAATATTTCACCATTTAAACGTGGAATTTATTTGAAATTTAATTTGCATAATTTTTTTAAGCTACACACATGTTTATTTTCTCCGTGTAAATTATATTTTCCAGGAATTATACTAAAAGAAACCTAACAGCTTTTGAAATTTCTTTTATATATTCATTAACTCCATCAAAGAGTTTCGTTATATTTTAATTATTAAACAATTTTAAGTGTATCTCTCAGTTTTGCTAAGTTAAATCGTTTCCGGATTTTGCGGATTCACGGAATTGAGGGATATACTCGGAGGGAAACCAATTTCCGGAGAACGTTTTTATTTCATTATCCGCAATCATACGCCCATTTACTCAACGAAATGCGACGTATAACTTTATTAAGCTGCGGCGATTGTCGGCCTTCGACAAATCGCGTCACTTTTACCAGCTTCCCACGTTATTCTCCGCATTGCTCGCGCGAAGGAAACGCGTGATTTTATGCGTTTTGCTAAGCCATGCAGAAACATAACTGTACTTTGATGTAAGCCAACGTCTGTTACAGCTCGTTGCGAGAACTTTTGCACAAAATAAAACTGACAGTTTCACGCCGACGAATGTTCACGTTTATGTCACGAATATTATAGATGTAGTAAACTAATATGTTCTAAACTAATGCTTATAATTGGTTAAAAGTATTTCAATATAATCATTGCTTTCCATAAAAAAAAAAAATGCGTAAAAAGATTATTATTAATGTTTTTTTATTCCAATTGCTTCGTACAAGTCATTAGGTTCAATATTGTTATTAATGGTTTTACCAGATTATATTCAATATCGTTTCTCGTGAAGTTCATTAATCAGAAAAAGAGGGAAAGATAATCGATATTCCCAAAATTACAAATTCCACGCATTCCCAGCTTCACATACGGTTTTATTTTATCACAATTTCATATATTTTAGTTGATTCGCAACTTAACGCAATGCATGCACATTGAATTATTCAAAGTTAAATAAATATCACTACTTTTATCTAAGCTCTCACATTATTTTCTCTCAAGCCGGTCTACAAAAAAACGCATCTTTACATCGTAAAACTTACCAATTTCTGATTGCAAACTTTCGGTTTTTTAAATCACGAAATTTACCAGCTTTACTTTTCCCCGAAAATCTTCGACCTTTAACTCTTCGGCTCGTCAATCATAAACTGTACTTTTCCCTTCTCGTTGTTCAATTTGCTATCCCTTCCGATCAAACTAGAAGTTATTCGATCACCAGGCACATCATCACTTGCCATCGAGCGCACGTTCAATATAACTTCTCGCGAGATTCATCAAATAAGCTACCCTTTACCAAATTAGCGTCCTCAAAGTTCTCCGAGCTTCGAGCGTTGATCGCGCGCGCCCTTAACCGGATTTTCCCACGGATCCGATAACAACTCCCCCTCGACACACAATCAGCGTCCATCCGCCGTTAATTCCCGTCGTTGTTTAACGCTCGCAACAATCTGTTGCTTCGTCCGCGTCAATCGATCGGACCAGAAAGGCAGGGCTCTCCTCTCGGGCTTTCTCTCGTCGGGATGACTCGCGTCGCGAAGCCACCCCCGCGAAACACCGGCGAGCACTAGCGGCGCGTTCTCGCGGGTGCCCGGAACCCGGTGACCGCGTTCGCGTGGGGCGCTAGGTGGTTGGCGGGACGAAGAGCACGGGAGGATGAGAAAGAGAGAGAGAGAGAGAGAGGGACAGAGAGGGCGAGATTCGCCTAAGTGGCAACGAGGTCGATGAACTCGCCGGTCCTCGCCGGGATCTCGCGGGTCAACTCTCGATCGGTCACGGGGTCGATACACCCCCTTCGCCGTGACTCCAGGCAGGTGGAGCCGCGGCCAGGTGGAGCTCTCGCGAGGGCGCCGCGCGGATGCGGGTGTTGGTCTCGGAATGGTTGGAGGAGAAGATCCGAGAGGGATGCCGAAACAGCAACGAGGGCGGCGGGGACGAACGCGACTGTTTACGTTGGGAAAACGGGGAACCCGTGGATCCCGGGCGCCTGCGCGACCTCCGTCGCGCGCAATCGATAGACTCTGACGTAGGAGGCACTCCAGCAACCTCGATTGACCGGCATCACGTTGGGAAAGGGCAGGAGGACCGATTTGTCGCCCTCCTCCTATTTTCGCGTCTTGTCCTTCGCTCTGTTATTTGTTTGCTCCTGTCATGCGTCTCCGTTTATTTGTTCTCGCCCAATTTTCGCCCTGATCCAATTCTCGCGCGCTGCGTAGATTGAATTCTCGTGCAACGATTTCCTTATGCTGTTTCTCATTAATTTTGGGTATCGAATTATTCGCAGCACTCAGAACGAATGTAATGTAAATGTATGTCGTACGTAAATAGATATGGCCGTCGTGCGACATGCAGACGCTTTCTCTTCGTTTCAATTATGATCACTAATGATCCAAGTGTAAGACAACATGCCTCAACTCTATTTTTCGTCTCTTTTGTATTACGAAAAGATTTATATGCCTATTCTACGATACGAAGAAATATTGTTTTTAAGCATTTTCGATATAAGTATATTACTGTTTTCAAAATCTTGACTCGTCAAATTGACATCAAAGCTACGCAAAGTATCAACCCTAAACTTAGCAAAACTAAAGAAGTAAACTTGAAATAACTTCTTAAATATAGAATTTATAAGTATGACAAAAATTGAAAACAGAAAATAATTGTGTCACCAAATTATAAAAGCCATGAGTAAGTAAATACGATTTACCATAATTTTAATTTGGAAACATATATTTCAAATTGCCAAGTTTAGGGTTAATGCAAATGTTTTATGGTTTAACAAACAACCTACCGGACAACAGCGGCAATTTCTGCAGTTCCCGATTTTTCGATATATTGAACCTGGAGCTGCTCTGCCGTTTATCCTTCTTTATTACGGGTCCACCGGGTTGATACTTGATTTTGTTGATAAGTGTAGGCGGAGGCGGTGCGTTGCCCACCGGAGGTCCCCCGGTCACCTTGTTTGCCTGTGAAAAAAAATTTTAAAAGACGTTAGATTTTTGTGAAAATTGGAATAAACGAACGTTACAGCATGGTTACAATAGTAAATGGGAGATAAAAAAAACTTATCGATTTGTTTAAAATATAGAAATGTGTTCCAATTATTGGTATCTATAATTGGTAGATTGAAGCATTTATTGAAACGGTGTTTTATATGATCTTTTTAAATCCCCTTATAATCATCTTCTTTACAAATATGACACTCATTTAATATGCGAATGATATCCAATCTATTTTTGGTCGTGTCCCGCGCAACACATACATGTTAAATCTAAATAGAAATTGATGATTAGCAGATTTAGCCCACAGTTGCTCGTTTTCCCATTAATTCAAGCCGGTCGCAGGTGAACGATCGATTGCGAGCAATCGTTCACTGATCGGATTAACGTTATATAAATGGAACGCGAAGAAGCGACGTCGACCTGATTTATACGGCACGATGCGTGCAAAAAATTACAAGTACGTGATCTTTTTACGTCGCCAAGAATTGTAAAGTGTGACGTTTCTGCTTTATGAGATAATATTCTTCAATGTAGAATTAATATATTTTTTAATAAAACTAATTTCTAGCTATAATTAAATAGAAATGAAAAATTTCTCACAACTTAGACTCCGCAGATTCAAAGGAGTGGTAATATCTTGATCTTAATTAATTTTAGAAATTTTATTTAAAGTTTCAATTTAATGCTCAATTATTAGTATTTTTAATATTAAATATAAATAGCAGTAAAATAAAAAAAAATGTGCAATTAAATTTTCGCTAAAAAAAAACTCCAACTAATTTCACTAGATGTGAAATATGTATTACATTATTGATCATTTTCTCATTCTGTGGCAGATGCGGCCATGAAAGTTGCGAAAAAATATATGTAGTGCTCCTTTCTTTTATTTGTTGTTTGATCGCGACTACAAAGTAAGCTGTTTGAATGAAAAAAGTCGCAGATACAAATGTTCTAGTTTATCTTGTGACTAACAAAAAGTCGGTCGAACGAATGTACCTCGGCGTCCTGTAATGAATCCAATCAGATCTCCTTCTCACATGGCAGCTTTATTACAAACCTGCCAACTAGTTACGCGAGCTTTCTTCGCTCACTTTCCCGATCGTTCCGCTTTCGGAGTTTTGTGCGCAACGTCGAATATCTAATTAATAGTCATCGATTTTTTTTCCGACGATACTGCGTATCGGCTGTATGAATATATTAAAGACCAATTGAAAGTAGACTTTTCCTTAACGCAGATTTAAGCAAACGTAATTTATGCGCGGATTTGAATAACGGAATCAAAGGGTTCTGATCAATTAAAGTTTAGAAACGAAAGCGAATAAGGAACGATTTAATTTTTCAATTATTTCGAGTGAAAGGACTTCGAGGGAAATTCAGCTTGCGGCTTGTCAGACGAAATATTCGACGTTGAATAATAATAAAACATTGCGTAATCAATAATGTACTTGCGCAGTACGGTGACAGGTAACATATACATGAGTTAAATGCACAATAAAGTGCAGTAAAACGCAGATTGTGTATCCGTAAATAAAAATAGATGTAAATCACGGTCTAATGAACTATTACGAAGTTATCGTCACTCGGCCTGAGTTTTCGCATTGTTTGCTGCTGTATCTTCAGAAGAATATACGCGTATGAGCACGTACGCTTGATAAACAAAACAAAGTTAGCAATTCCGCACAGCGTCTCTCAACGAGAATCAGTGTTTGCTGTCATTCGTTTGCGAGAGCTTAAAAGACTCGTAAAATACGCAACGAGTGAATAATACGCGGAAATTATTTCCTTACGTCGCGAATAATTTAACAAAATTATTTCAAACAACATTTTTTTTTCTTCAAATATTAAGAAGCTCATTATCCAAAAAGGTCATTTATTCAGAGAAATATTATTTATAACACCGATAATACAGTAAAATAAAAAAAAAGATAATTACGTTTAATAAAAATAATTGCTATATTTCGAGAAAAAAGAGAGTATAGAATTTCTCAATTAATACTTAATTTTCAACTTATCTTACAGTGATAATCCTACTATATGTGTTTACTTGTTTTTCAAAAGAATAATAATGCGCAATTTTCACCGTGTTTATCTTTCGTAATATAGAATGCTGATAAACCATTGTGCGACTTTTACAGCGCAGTGCACTTTGAAGCAAATCAAGTTTCGCCAATTGATTGGTTTCACATGGGCGAATAATGGGTCATAATAAATGGTTTTATAAAAGAAGAGGTCAGCCAGTATTGAAGTTCACGGTCGGAGATTATAAACTGTAACAGCTCTTGTTCTAACAAGAATTTCCACCCGAGGGACGTGCGAAATGCATTTTCATCTCTTTCATCTTTCTAATAGCATTTCTCGTTTTCATCAAAAGTCATTCATTATGTTGAATGAATGCGATGTCAATTAGGATAAAAGAGGATGATTATGTATAAGACGTCATTTGGTGTGTAGAGCTATCATCGTTTTTTAACGGACGCTTTGCACTCCAATTTGTCGATTTCGACTTCTTGCCTTCGAATCATCGTTTATTTCATTTTCAAATATATCAATATTTAAATGTAAATTCTAAACAAAATAAATCAGAATTTAATTTAAATCTTATTAAATATAATTTGTATTCATTCTCTTGCAGTTTTCATATTTTTTGATAAAAAATATTTACACGAAAAATTGTTTAATATATAATAAATGAATAATGTTTAAAAATAAACATGTAATAGAAAAAATGATCATAACATAGTCAAGATTTATTTATAAGTATTGTTTTTATATTGTTTTTCAAGTAAACCTTTGCTACTTAATGTCAAATCTATAAATAAGGATTAATATGGGTTAAGGAGTCATCGACTTTCGCTCCGATAAGCTTACTGAAGCAACGCGATGATCTTTGATACTTTAGAACTTGAATCACATTAAATATTACGAGTTATTTGTGCAATGCTACTCGACATCTTTATAAAATTAATGCGCATTCGATACTGCTTATACGCACTTATCTGTCAATACTTATTTTGCTCGAATCGAAACTACATATTGCGCATTAAAAAGTTATTATATCTTTAGTTATCATATCGGTCACGATAAATATCGTGATAAGCATCTGACAAGATTTCGTTTTTCAATCGCCATACGTTAAACCGAGCAAGGACAAGTAAAAGGATTATCTCGCTGAAAAAATTAATGATAGCACTTTGATACTCGACAATGTCAAATGATAGTACGTTGGAAAGTATGCGTAATTATTGTGTAAACTAGCGGGTAGATAAATAATTCATTCTTGTCTCCAGATATTTATGCCATAACGACTTCAAACAGTGTATTGCAGTGTTTGGAGCCGCCAAATATTTGATTTGATCACACGAAATAATGCAAATTAACTGATTTGAATGATTATATTATGAACACAAACATATTTTAATTGTAAAGCAAAAAATAAATAGCAATGTATTATTATCTTAAAATTTTAAACAATAATAAAAAAGATATTTATCTCCATAAAATATATCACATAAGAAAATAAAAATATAGATTATATTACGAACTTGCACAGTCATTGCAAATAGATATAATTATAAAATAATATAATAATATTAATTACAAAATCTGCAGAAATAGTAAAAAAATTTAAAGTTTTCAACTCAGCTTTTTATCACTTTTTGGCTTTACAATTACATGACGATAAACTCGTCACAGAAACGCCGCATTTAAATCTATCGTTACAAAGTTCGGAGCCGGGCTCCTTGAGAAACCTGCCTTTTTCTTGAACACGTTCCCGAAGGCGAGCCCGCTGAACGTTTGCATTTTACTCTGCATGCCAGCGTGCGATCCACGGAACAACGATCGGCCCAGGAAGGAAGTTCACTATCGGCACAGTGCGGCAGTCCGCCGCGCGAAAAACGGTCTCGTGGCGTCGCGGCGCAACATGATTTTTGCATTCGCCGTGCGATCCTCCCTTCTCACGGGGGACGAGGAGAATCTCAATCACACAACCGTCTATCCACTTCACGGACTATCCAGGGAATATCCGCTTTCTATCCGCCGGCACCTGATAGTGCATTCCCGAATGCATGCCTGAGAATATCGCGCGAAATATTCGAGGAACGCGCCGAATTTCTTTTCTAAATTTACAACTATTACAATCAATTTTCCCGACGCGAAGGACGCGCGTGAGATCTAACGGAAAGATTTTATCTTTGCAAATGAGATTAGGATTTGCAATTAAACTGTAGCGCACCCGCGTTTGAAAACAAGTTTCCAAACAATATATATATATATTTTCTACATCCTCTGATTTCAAATATTTATTTTAATTGAGTACTGAGTTAATCATATTTATTTTTTGCAAAATATTTTGTTATTCTAAATAAAGAATAACGTAAGAGACTTTTGGCCTCGGCGATCGAGAAGGTAAATTATGTTAATGATTAATGATGATGCACGTGTCACACATGATCTGTTTACAACGAACCGACAGTTCTTGCAACTAGTTTGCGGGCGTATGTACGAAAATAAATCGGCGGAACGAAGTGTCTGGGCGAGAGGTAGGCTCCCTGTTATCCAAGATTAGGAAAAGTCGACGCAGTCTCTCTACGCTGGATCCGCGTTTGCGAGTATTTTAGTCGACAATCGAAAGAGACGAGAGAGAGAGAGTAAATATTATCTTTCTGTCGCTGGCCGTCATGCGATGTTTTGTTACTCAATATTTCCGAGTACCGATCTTTAGAAGTCTGACCTAACGTGTAATTTATAGTTAGCTGTTAAATACCGATAACAGTGTTGCGCAATTTATCAACCATTGTATTCCTCAAAGTAAATTGATCGCATGAATTTGAAAATTACTCCTCCGTGACGTAATTTATTCTCACAATCATACCTTCTTCTATTATAAACAAACACACGCTTGCATTCCGATAAATAAGCGACTTTGGCAACGATTGTAAACTTGTTTCGGAGCGAGTTTCGTTTATCTCATACATAAAACATTGACTGACTGGCTCTGTCTACCGAACGGCGAGAGATTGCAAATCGCGAGAACGACGAAAAGCAGGCCGGCGCATTTCCTCGGGGTATTCGGAAGAATTCGCAGCATCCCCGCGCGAGGGAGATATAAATATTCCCCACGCGGGTGTCCAGTGCGGAATAAATTCTCGCGGGTTGCTGATCTAGCCGCGCGGCGCGACGAACAAAGGCGCGCGTGATGTCGCACTTGGGATTGCACTATTCGCGATGCGCCGTGGAGGAAAGGACGTCACCTCTTCGTCGTCCGATTGCCATTCCAGAGATCCTCACGACACTATTTTCTCCCGCGTGCACGACAGAGAGAGAGATGAGTTTCTCTTGTCGCGACGCTAGCAAAACGAAGGAGAGAAAAAAAAAGATATAGACACACGAGATGTCGCGTGTGCAACGAAGAGAGACGCGACAACACGCGGGGAGAAACGCGAAATAACAATGTCGCCGACGTCGCGACGCCTAAGATCGTCCGCGAGACGCTTTACGGAGACGGAGACGGCGACGGCGACGACGACGAGAGCGCACTGCCAGAGGCGAGCGGCAAGCGTGCACTCGTGACCGAGAATCGCAGCAGCCAGCCAGCCAGCCAGCCACTTGCGACACTCGTGTACACACATCGCAGGTTTTGGCGAGCGCGATCGGCTCTCGCGGCACGCCGTCGCCGCCGTCCGATCGACGCCGATCGTTCAAGGTCGCTGCGTACGACCTTAACCCTCACGCCAATTACGCGGAATTACGTTTCATCTTGCGGCACACACGTATGTTACACGCGTACGAACGTAATGCATAGTCGATCGCGGGCTTCTACCCTCATATTTTCGTACGATCGACGTAACAAGGGGCTGTCTGGAGAAATCACGATGTCCCTGGACCAGTTTATAGGATACGATCTCCGGAGAGGGAGGATTATAGAGTTAGGGAAGATTTAAGGACCAGACACGACGAAACAGGAATAAGAATACAAAGGTCTGCTCCTTATTTTTTGTAAGATTGCACTTAAAATAAGAATCTACGCCACAGCAAAGTAAAAAAGTAGTAGTTTTTTTTAATGTTACGATTTTCAACGCGAATAATAATATCGATGCTAAAAATGATAAAATTTCAATTTTTGTTTAAAATTTAAAGTATGTGAAAAACTTTTTTTAAATACGAAATTTTGTAACAGAATAAATAAGATTGCAAATAGTTCTATGATAGAATACTTTTTTTAGATTCTTCAAATATTTTTTAATAAACCGCAAAAAGTTAGAGAATTTTCCGAAAGAAAATGAAATTTGTTTCGGAATAAGATCTAGATTAATAAGCGTTTGCAATCAAGATATCGTTGATGACCTGATTGTGATGCGACTGTTATATAATGTATTTACATATTCGTATGTTAATCATACGTTACGTGGTAGTGAAAAAGTTCCTAGGGTTAGAAGGCGATAATGACGATAAGTGGTTTCAATTTGTTAATACGTGCACGTCATATCTTGCAGATTAATCTTAACGCGAATACTAGCTTATTAAGTCCGTCTCGTACTTTAAATTATACCGTATATTACCCTTTTGCGTGATATATGTCACGTTAGCAAACTGCAACCTACAGTTACTCCGACGCCGTCTTTTCTCGATATTAAAAGCAGCTTAATTCGAAAATATTCACCGCATTCGAAAAAAGTCATTCTTAAAGTTTCAATAAATAATAAATCTTCCTTCTTTAAGAAAGAACTTTGCGTTGTCGAACGTTTAAGATGCGGAAAAATTGCAAAAATATAAAAAAATTTTCTTCAAACGCACGGATTTAAATTAACTCCTAATTTGTCGAGGTATCTGTCGTGAAAATAATTGCCAATAAACCGCCGGCATGTATCGTTGTCTGCGCATTGTATCGCAACACGATGTTAATAGAAATACATGTCGATAGAACAATTACGAGCGCGGTAGGGTGTTTTGTACACGCCGGGCAAGCTTCCCCGTCATTCGTTATTCCCTAACAATGATGATGAAGCGGGTTTAAGCGCCGCGTGACGAAACGACAATGCCCGGCTGCTATTTCTGAATACCTGTGGGAGGTGTAACATATGAACGCATCGCGAGAACCGCACAAGAACCGCGGGGTGGCCACACGCGTTAGTTATTAGTGGATGACAAAAGCGACGTGTGTTCGCCGCGCGTTTTGTCAACGTGACATCCGTTTACTATCAAACCCAATTAGTTTAATGGTAAACAGTTTAGACATCCATTTGTAATTCGCGGAATTCCAAGTATAGTTTGTTGCAGATGCACTTTAAACGGCAGATTTCTAGATTTCCGTTTTCGCGATGATGTCACGATCAAAAATACGTGAACAGAAAAATGCGGAAGTAGAGATATATCTACGGAAAGATTGCGATTGGAATAATTCGAAAGCGTCAAATCCGCGTATTATCAAGATGACGAAGTTAAGTAACTTACTTTGTACACGGAGTTAAGCATCATTCGATTGAACCGCAATGAACCGTCGCCTACTATACTTGGGCACAGTTGAACGTTTATGCAAAAGCAATAATAGCCCACACCTGTACGCCATGTCAATTATCATCTTATGCATAATCAGACAACGGTTGATGTATCTCAAGTTCTCACATAAAGTGTCCGTAATGGCCGTGTTGTTTCCTTTTGCTTGTTATCGATCATTTCGTCACGATGCGTTTCGTAATTCGGCGCAGTTGCGCAAAAAAAAACTTTTGTGATTTTGTTGAATAAAATATAATTAAACAAAGTTATATAAAATGTTGCGTACAAAGCGGAGAACATTGGAATTTGTCGTTTCTCATGCAATTAAGCTCAATTTAACGAATAAATCGATAAATAAACTGTGGAATTTTGCTAAGTTTTACCGTCCATTATATATTATCTGATACCCGGATATTACGTCATTATTGTGCAAATTTCTTTCGACCATTTGACAGGGGTATTTACGTTATTACCGTATTATTTGCCGAACCGCCGTAAATCCACCGTAAATCGATCATCGCGATTCTTTGACATCGTGCACCGGCCTATCCGTAATTTGTCATCGCGTTACGTTGGCGTGACGCGAACGTACCCGCCCCGTTATTACACGTCAATCGAACGTGTAATCGTGTGTGCGAGCGGCCGTTATATCGCGGCACAGAAGTCGATTGCGGTTCCACGGAAACCGTAACTTTGGTCGATCTGATGCTACAGTTATTCCGGTCGCGGCCTATTTTCAGAGACGATCGAGGTGAAAATGCGCTGTCACGCGAAAATGATCCCTTGGATCACCGGCCCTCCTCAACCTTTAAATGTAGCTTCGTGTCGATTCTGGACACGCTTACGCTCACATATAACCTGTTACATATTTGACGAAACTACCCTCGCAACTTTATTCAATTTTCAGCTATGTCGGCAGAATCTCTCGGTCTCCGCAATCCCTTGTGCCCTCTGTTCGACTGGATAAAGTTTCGAATTGCTGTGATGGAAAAACTTATACGCGTCTAGCTCCGTCCAGAGATGTTGGACATTTTTTCTATTAAATAACCTTGTTTCTAAATTAAATAAATTTTTTATCCTTTCGTATAGCGAATACAGCGTAATCAAAGTTATGCAGAATTTTCTCTCGGAATTGAAGTACTTGAAATTTCTTCGCGATCGCACGTTCGTTAGATCTAATATAAAACTTCCAGATTATATTCTGGAAGATTGATCTATGATTATTTTTGTTAAATCTTTCCAAGCGGATGTCTTCGTATCCCTCTTTTCTAAATGTAATCCCAAGATTTCATGTTATTTTAAACGCCTCCTTCCTCGTACTCTTCTGCGTACTCGTCAACTCTTTTTTGCCTCAAAATCTCGCTATTTATGGAAAAGGGAGAGCTAACTTCGCGCGCATCACCTAGGACTCTCGGTAAGACGTCGAAAAAGCGGACGACGCGACACAGAGACTGGAATGCACCATCGGTATTGACTATTATTAGCGCGCTTTCTATTTGCACGTCGCTCGAAATAGAGAGACGCCGTTCTCCATCGCGTGGTTAGTTTTAGCGGGTGGGCGGGATAACCGACGAGATTTTTGCGTGATCTCATTAACGAGAGCGACAGCGGCGAATTCATGGCCTCCCCCCTCTCCCCCAAAAAATATGCACGTGACGAGAAAAGTCACGTGCTTTCTAATTGTTACGAAACTTCGGCTTCTCCCCGATGCGACGCGACATCCCGAAACGATGATGTTATCACGCATAAATGCGATTTCGAGTGAAATATCTAGCTACCGATGGTTTTCGACGTATAAGCCGTTAAATAATCCGCCATTAATGAAGAATATTTTTACACTAACGGGAAACGTCGTTGGGATCATCTGTTAAAATTGCGCGTGAAAAGAGCGCCGCGGCAAAGTAGCAGTTGTGCGTACATCGAGCCAATATTACAAAGTTTGCGCTAATACGCGACGCAAATTGCATCGCTTGGAGTGAACGTACAAATGTAATTTCCACTCTAGTGCGTCGCGACTACGCTACGAGCCGTGTCATAATTCGTGTGCGACACTTATTTCAGAGATACGCGGTGCCAACGTCAGGTAGACAGTAACACCGCCGATCGCGAATCACGTGCAAGCTGCATCATTGAGCTCACCATTGATCGCTATTTCTCGTTTGCAAGATAATGCGCACGAGCCTCGATGTGGACACTCTTTTTCGTACGCATCATCTTGCACGACGAATTAAAATTTGACACGCGGCTCGCGATCACGTGGCGGTAAACAGTGCGTCAAGTAGCAGCATAAGTATCTGTAATGCGCGCACGCAGGCATGTGTGGTGTTTATACATGTGTAAGTATAGCGTTTGGCATCGAATCAATGCATGTTGTGCCATTGATACCTCCATGATCATTGATCGAGGAAATAAAAGAGAAAAATAATCGGGTGAGCGTACGGATGATTCTATAATCGTTTAAAATTTATAAAAATCTGTATCGGTGTTTCTTCGGAATAATTTATCTCGGTTTATTAATGATTGATCCGTGATAAGTCCTGTTATTCTTGTAAATAAATTATTTTTGTAAATGAGGTAATTCAAGCGATGATTAAAGGTAAAACCACAATTTGAATAAACGAGAGTAAAGTATAATTTGTTTTGAATCTCCGTTAGCCAACAAAATAAGCAAATCTACGTATGTTAATGAAACAAACAAACATTTACGTAACATCACGTTACCATTACGTGCAAAATTAACGTACGATATCGATTTTATATCGATGAGATATGATAGGTAAAATTAGTTTCGCGATCACAACGATAAATTTGATATTAATGCAGCAATTTCAGCAGATTATGCAAAGCAATTTCTTACGTAACTCAATTCTCATAGAAAGAGGGTTGCAACCCTAACTTTGACATTTTATTACAAGTTTTGCATAAAAATTTACATATTGTATCACGATTGGCGACGTATAGATGATTTATGAGAAAACTATATTATTAGATTGTAAAGAAAGATATCCAGCTCAAACATAGTTTTGTAGTTTTAAATAAAAAAAAATTGATCTAAGAAAATGTAAAATATTATCATAAAAAAAGAATACAAAAAGAACCCCCCCCGCTTTTTAAAAAAATACTATTTCAGATTTAGAACTTAACAGATTAACATTTGTTGTAAAATATTTTATATACCATAAAATAAAATGACTCTTAAATAATCTCAGACTAAATATTGCAAAAAATTTAACTCATAAGCTTTTTTTATCTGAAGTAGTGTACCAATTAAAAAATAATATTGAAATAAATAGTAGATAATATAAAAATATTTGTACCTTAATAGACACAAATACGCAAGTCCTAAAATATCAGTTGTTGTGTAAATATTAGCTTGTCATACAAAATAACTAACATCTAATTGTCATTATTTTTATTATGATGCCGATTTATTTCAATAAATTGATAGCCGTGCTTGTAATATTATACGGCGTTCGTTAGGGGCCTTTAACGTCGCAGCTACGCCATCTAGTTCTCAACTGTTTCAACTCGTAACTATCCTTGTCTAACTGCTCCGCTAATAACGTCTGCAGTTAGATCGCTCATTGAACTATATTAATCATAAATGCTCCATTAGAAGCGCAGGTATCGCAAAATACGTTTTTAGCTCATTGCTAAAAATATATTTATCGCTCGATAATAAGAAATTATGGCGAAACGCGATAAACAACGGCACGACAGGAAATCATTATTCAAAAAGAATGATTTATGAATTCATAATGTATAAAAACAAGCTAGATAAATAAAACTAACAATCACTCTTCTCGTGTCAATTATTTCTTGGCAAATATCGATATTATTGTTTCTGTCAATATAATACTGGATAAGCGATAAAAAGCGCGCGATATCTGTCTAATATACTATAGAAAATAATGTTAAAACAATATACACTCCAATTTTATATAATTTTCATATAGCATCAGAGAATAAATATTTCACGTTATGTTGGCAAAACTTTAAGTGCAAAATAAAATAGATTGTGGTATTTATTACTTCTAGATAGTTGCTTATGTTCTCGTGAAAGAAATTATATAACTGCAAGAAGTTATATAGAAGTTATAGAGATATCAAATGTATTGTATTACACATAAGTTATACGTACGATATTCAGTACGCATTCAAAATGGTTATTTTACATTTAACTGAAGAAAGTACAATCGCATTTTTGATACGTATGAAAAAGATAATTTTATACATTGAATATTGTGTCGTATTGTTTCCTATATTCGCATTAGCATCCAATACTTATAAATTATTTCCTTAATAGATTTTGTCGTAACATGATAGAATACTATTGATACAGATTATATAAATACTCTTTGGCAATCAATAATCATAGAACATAAATCATTTAATAGAAATTACGTAAACAGTACAATATACTCTAAAAGACAGCACAACATAACCATATGAGTGCGATAGATAAAACATGATGTTACTGAAAACTGTACACTGCTTTAATAACTATATACTACATGTGAAATCTTTCTCATGGAGATAGAATAATTGCCTGCGATAAATTTGCCTCGCAACATATCAGAATCGTTAGACAAATGCACCAGACATAAAGATGAATATGTAAATATGTGTACCAAATAATGCAGTCAATGTATATACGAACAACATGCTTGTATCGTATATCGCAAAAAGTAGATAAAAAATGCAAGATGTCGGGTCGGCCATGCGACCGATCTGTCACAGCGGAATTCATTGAACACGTTTTTCGAAAAGGCACACGATGTGTCTGTTTTTTCAAGACACATTTCAACGCATAAGTACATATCGTGTGAGCACAAAGCAGCACGCTGCGCTCGTAGACATTGACAATCCGCGATGACAGGAGTCGCAATCGGACCGGGCGAGCAGTGGCAGACAGAGAGATAATATAACCTCACCTCGTCAACGGCGTCGACGTCCTTGCCGTTCTTCGCTTTGTCCTTGCCGCTCTTCGCCGTCTCCTGGAACAGAAGCGCAGTAAGTGCCGGAACGATGTGCACGACGGCGCGCTCGGGGCACGCCGCGATGGCATTGCTACTCGGCGCTTTCGCACTCGCACTCGCGACATGAAATATCACGCGGACAAGTAACAGACAGAGAGAGCGTCGGTGAAAACGCGCGAGGCGAGAGAAGGTAAAACGCACGGATGAGAGACATATACCATTGCGCTCGTTCCGGGCGCGCGGCCGAGTGAGCAGCAGTGCGCGTCGTCGTCGTTGTCGTCGGCGATGAACGCGGTCCGCGAGACGAATCGAAAGCCGAACCACAGGCCAGTCGCGCAACGCGCGCGCGATTAATCTCGGTCGGCGGCGAGAGGAACCGAAGGTGGTGCAGAGCAGAGGGCGGTCTCGCACGCGGGGAATCGGGATCGGGTCAAGAAACCGGAGTCACTGGTGAATGCGCCTTACGGTATGTATGAAGTCCAGTGATGCCGATAGAAAGATCGCTGGTGCTGACCTCTGTGGCATCTCTGTGAAGATTGTCACCATTGAGCATACTAATCGACACTGATTACAGCGGGATGATTGGACCAATAGTATTTGTCCAATAATTTTGTCCAGGCAGTTATGTATCCAATCAGAACATTTCCAATTGGAATAATTTCTTTTTTCCTAGATAACATAATAAAGGTTCTTGCACACAAGATGCGTTACATGTGGCGGAAGTCGGTACGGCGGCCAATCAACTTCTCGCTTTTTTAGAAACTAGCGGGTGATTATTGGTAGTCACGTTAATTTTCGTCACGTATAATTAACGCATTCTGTGTGTAAGAACCCTAAGATATCTAAGGAAAAACGAAAACTTTCTTTTCGGAAACAATTTCAACGTGTATATACATATTTTATATTTCATTGTAATTAAAAAATAAATAGTGCGCGTTTGTATTTCTAGTATTGGATAAATTCAATGTTGTAAAAAGATCAATTTGATTTTAATTCATGATGGTGATTTTGAATACAAATACAGCATTTATGTGAATACAATGCATATTGCACCAACATACAATTCATCAAAATTTTGAGACTAATGATTTTCTTTAACGAAAACATTAAAATAATAAAATACAGGAAAGAGAGGAGCAATGGCATAATGAGGAGAGACATGTTCGGGACATCTGGATTACTCCTCCAACTCCAGGTCCCCCAATTCTTCCTCTAAACCTTCCAGATCCTCCTCCACGAAAAGATTTTCGTTAATGGTTACCGCTGTTGCACCTTCTTCTACTGTTACTGCAATAAAGATTTTGTTATTAATAATTTAAAAATTAAATGCTAACATATTTAAAACATAAATACTACTTATATGTATAAGCATATCTCTCAAATGTTCAGAAGAGATCATTTATAAATAATTATATTTTATAAGTTTCTGAATTTAAATTTTGCGTCAACTTATTTATTAGTTATTCAGATTATATTAATTATTACCTGTGACATCTTCATCGCTATCAGTGACATTATTAGCCATTAACCGATCTGCAGCAGCCATAGTAATACCTTTAGTATCAATTTCGCTAGCTTCAAAAGCGAGACGTTCAGTATCGAGTTCTCTATATTGTACATCTTCATCATAATCATCCTCTTCACGAGTGTAATTAAATATTGCTTCATCTTCTTCATCAATACCTATGACAATTAAAAATAAACAATTTTTTGTATTGTAAAACAGATTTAAATAAGTTGTGCTCTAGATAAAATCTTACCATCTCCTGCTGCGAGATCTGGATTAAAGTAAAACATTTCTCTTCCTGATATACCGACTTGGCGACCAGCTCTATAATCATTTCTTTTCTTCTCTTCGTCCTTGATTGCTTGCTCTTCTTTTTCTTTCAATTTTCTCTTCTTCCAAGCCAAAAATGTCTCCAGTGTTATCTTGGTCTGTAAATATGATTTTTCTTATTACATAGAAATATTAAAACAAAATTATTATCTATACGTATAATTAAAAGTTTATTATTTATCATATACCTGATTAAGTCCCAAATTGGCCCTTTCTGTTTCTATTAGGTCTTCCAGAGAAATTTCATCCTTTTTCTCTTCTTTCTTTTTATCCTTCTTCAGCACAAACCCAGGAGGTAAAGCATGCCTATAAATGCATTTCTGACCAGATGGACACTCCCAGAACCAACCATATTTTGCCTTCTCTACTGCCTCCAAAAAGTGTTTGCAGATCTAGAAAGAGAAAAAGCAGTTTATTTTACATTTTATTTCTTGAATAAGAGATATCAAACAATTTTCCATAATTAAATTTTTACAAGCACTATTGAACTATTCACATAACTTACAATATCGGTAGTTGGACGATTGCCACCACCATGTTTCTTCTCCACAACTTCTTTCAGTTTATCTTCATCCCACTTGTCCATTGTATCTGCTTCCTTGTCATCATCATCTCTCATATCGCAGTACAAAGAACGCTTCTCAGCTTTTCGTTCAATGCTCAAATCATGAGAAAATTTACATTTATCTCCTTTTGTACATTGTCCCTGTTTAAAAAATGCGCACACCACAGACTTGGGATCTATGCCTACAAATATTGTTTTGCCACAGTGTCATTTTGTTGTTTGAATATCCAATATTTTAAAGATTCCCACTATCAGCAATACTCAATACCTTTATCTATTTTCTGTGCTTGAACTGGCTTAAAAATAAGTGCTAGTTCCTTTTGCTCTTTCAGCTTCTTTTCTTTTTCCAACTTTTTAGCATTGGGATCTTCAAGTTTGCGCGGATTTACACCACCTGATTTCACTTGTTTCTCCACCTGCTGAATGAACTTCTGCTGCTTGGCACCTTTCTTGTTTTTTATACCGAAAGTTTTGTCCTTGAAAACATAAAATCTATATAGATTTATGAAAATCCTACTTTGTGTATAAGTATATATTAATAAAAAATATAAATTTCTAATAAAAGATACAAATTTTTAATAAAAAAATAAGATATTCATTAATTCCACGTGTCATTGCAAAAACATGTGGAAACTTGCAATTTTTTAGTCAAAAAATCGCAATCTTTTACCTCGATAACCTTTTCCTTCTTTTTTTGCTCCGCTTTCTTGCTCGCCGCTGGTGCCTTTTTCGGTGGCATTTTATCAATTAATTTTTTCTCGTTGAGATAGAAAGTCTCTTAAAATTTCTTCTAAAAAAATGTCGATGAATGTTTTATTTTATTCCAAAAAACATTATTACTCTGCATGCCTGTAGCCATTGCTTATAGAGTGTATTGAATCAGTGTGATAACGTTTTGCACATCAAAATTCTCTAGAAATATTGTATTATTATTTTTATAATATATACACATTAATTGTAATTAATATTAAACAAAATGTGATTTATTTTTATCAAAGTATGTTTTCTGTCAATCAACAAGTTATTTCTTTAGTAATTTTATACTTCTGTACATTGAATATTGCAATCCTGTATTAAAATATAGTATAATATACTTTTATGGGATTCCACTCTATAAAATTCTCTTTGGCTATGGCGATCTTCTAACCTCATCACGTTTGACGAATTGTCCTTTTGTTCGGCGCGTGAACGTGGTTAAGTTGTACTTTGCTAACGTCTAATTACAATTAAACCAAAAACGCCACGATGGCGAAATTCGACTTAACGTCTCGTATAGGTCAATATCTTGACCGTCATTTGGTATTTCCTCTTTTGGAGTTTTTATCGGCGAAACAGGTGTGTTTGAAAACTGAAATTTGTAATACGGCATGACATTTTGGTTACATGTGATTTGTTGTAGATTTACGACGAGGATGAGTTATTACAAGCAAAACTTGATATTCTCAGCAAGACAAACATGATTGATTACACTATCGACATTAGGAAGCAGCTTTATCCTAATGTAGAAGTGCCAGAGGTGTGTTTCATTATGTATATTCTATTGGCATATTTGTGAGAGAACTACAATTGATACAATATGTATATGTGTTGTATGATATGAGCTAGTAATAGTTATGTATTTACTGTAGGAGATAAAAGCTAGACGTGCCGATGTACTCCAAGAACTCAGTGTACTTCAAAATAATGTTGCAGTAGTCTTATCTCTTATGAATAACGAAGAAATTATGAAAAAGATGGAGAACATGCGTGATTCCAAAGCGCTTAATAATTACCTCACTCAAGAATCAGATGTAAGTAATATAAACTATATTGAATGATATTTAATCCAATTTTATTTATGAAGTAAAATGTTATAAAGTTTATATATTTTATGATTATTTTTATTTGTGTTACAGTTTAGGATAGAAATGATGGATAGCTTTGTGAAGCTAGCAAAATATCGCTATGAGTGTGGCAATTATTCTGTTTCCACATCGTACTTATATTTTTATATGCTGATTATGCCACCAACTGATAAGGTAATTGTTAATTTTTAAAGAGTTAAATATAATATGTTACATGAATGTGTATATAATTTCCAGAACTATTTAAACGTCTTATGGGGAAAGTTGGCATCAGAGATTCTTGTACAAAATTGGGAAACAGCACTGGAGGATGTGAACAAATTGCGAGAATATATTGATAGTAATGTCATTGGCAATTCATTGCAAGTATTACAGCAGCGCACATGGCTGATTCACTGGAGTCTATTTGTGTTTTTCAATCACGTCAAGGGAAGAGATCTTATTATCGAGATGTTCCTCTATCGACCGCAGTATGTACAATTTTTTGTTCAATATTGAAAAATGATCCATACAAGGAGTTATAATATATAAAATCTTATTACAGCTATTTAAATGCTATTCAAACAATGTGTCCGCATATACTTCGTTACTTGGCTGCTGCAGTTATTGTCAATCGTTCCAGACGTTCTATTTTGAAAGATCTTGTGAAAGTAATACAACAGGTAAGATTTTTAAATCATATTTTTCTACACAAGAAATATATAAAATGCAAAAATTTCTTTTAATCATGTAAACCAGATTAAGCAGAAATTGTGAAATCGGTTAAAAATACATATGTTATATATTTATGAAATGCAATATAAATAAGATATTTAATTAAACTTTTTTTTTATAGGAATCTTATACTTATCGAGACCCGATCACAGAATTTCTTGAACATTTATATGTTAATTTTGACTTTGATGGAGCACGACAAAAGTTACAGGAGTGTCAGACTGTTGTCTTCAACGATTTCTTCTTAATTGCTCTATTGAGCGAATTTGTAGAAAACGCTCGATTAATGATTTTCGAAACATTCTGCAGAATTCATCAATGCATTAGTATTCAGTATGTATAAATCTTCTACATTTTTGCATTGCTGTGTTAAATACTTGTTAATTACTTTAACTTTTTATGTTATTTATAGAATGCTCGCAGAAAAATTGAATATGAAGGCGGATGTAGCAGAATGTTGGATTGTGAATTTAATTCGTAACGCACGTTTGGATGCTAAAATTGACAGTAAATTAGGACACGTCGTAATGGGAGGACAACCGGCATCGCCGTATCAGCAATTGGTCGAAAAGATTGAGACCTTAAGCGTACGAAGTGAGGCACTAGAGAATCTAATAGAGAGAAAACTAAAAGCGAAGAATCAAGACCCAGTAAGTATAGTGTGGAACTAACGGAGGTCAGTATCATTCACAATCATATTGCGCGCACAATAACATGATTTTTTTAATATATAACGCGTTACAAGTAAATATGAAAGAATTTAAAGATTTATGTATATGTGAAATATAAATACTAACAATAGATGATTGTATATGTCTAATGCAACAATCAAATTTGTGAAACGTTTATGTAACTTGATTGTATGTTTTAATATATTACTTTAAAGCATGTGTTTGTCGTCTTCGTAAATGTAAGGTATTGAAGGATTATCTTGTTACTTTTACTCAAATATACCAAACTCAAAATATATATTTATTTCTTTCTTTATTATTTTACCATTATGTATAATCATGTGATAATAAAAGTATGAAATTTTGAAATGTATTTTTCTTGTATACGAATTTCACGAATTATTTACTTTTGTTTCAGTATCAACATTCGTGGAATTTGGATTTGTGACAATTTGATGCAACATGGCGAAACAGTGCTCAAAAGAGATATTCCCTCTCCGACTATTAACACTAATACTAATCATACTTTATATTGATGTATCTTTTCACGAATGTAAAGAAATAATGAAAATTGAACCAAGAAACAGATTTCTATTTGCTAATATTGTCATCCATGTAACAAATAATAATAAACCTATAATATTTTATGACAGAAAATGTATGTCTTGTATCAAAATGCTCAGACTTTCATGAATCACATTTTCATCTTTATCGAAACTAAAAATTAACACATCAATTAATCAATCCATATATTTTATTCTAATACATAGTTAAAAATAAAAAAAGTCACACATATTTAAACACTTCAATCATAAGAAAGTCCGATAAAATTTCAATTTTGATTTAAATCAATAGTTTTGTTGTAATGTGTATAAAAATTATACAACATTCGCTATTCTAATATTATATAATATCAATTTTTTATTTAATTACTATTATATAGTAATAAATAATAATATATAATTATTATGTAATAATAGTAATTACATAATAATTAATATAATTAATATAATATAATGTTATTTAAGAATCAAAACTTTTAATTGTATTACAAGATATTATTCATATTTGGAGATTCTGTTACATGTTAAAATTACATCCCGTATATGCATCATGATTAATACAATATGTAAGAACACTTCTCCAATATGGATCTAAACTAAGTGTTGTTGGATTTCCTAAAATAATGAGCAGAGAACGAGCACGAGTGAGCGCGACGTTAAATCTTTTAGGCGAGGCGATAAAACCAAGAGCGTGTTTGACGTCTTCGTTAATTAGATTATTGCATGATCTAACAGTTGAGAGAATAATCACTTTCCTCTCTTGACCTTGAAATCCTTCCACACTGCTAACTTTTGGTAATTTAACATTCAATTCCAACAACAAGTCTTTGATTTGCAGTACCTTAATTTAGAAAAATAATTATCACAAAGATGAAAGGAAAAAGACAGCCAATAAATAATGTATATATAATTTATCTTAAAATACGTGCATACCTGCTTCAGGTAAGGTGTTATAACTCCTATATCATTCGGCTCAAGACCGTATTTGTATAATCTCAATAAATAAAGATACACCTGTGTTGCTTCTTGGGGATTATACCAACTTGGACTTTCCAAATCTCTACAGTTTTCACCGTTAATTCCATGAAAGACTATAGCCGGTGGTGAGCCATTTCTTTGAGGTAGTTCTGCTTTCAGTATTTGCAATAGTTTAGCTTCCTTACTATCCGTAACTGATATCTAAATATGACGAGTGGACAAGTTGAAGTCAACGTGAATGGCGAAAATTTCGAATTCAAAATAATAACAGTAATTAAACATACTTGCGGACACAATTCCGATTCATAAAACAATGAGTTTGGTAGGTTCAGTATCTCTGGTAAGCTTCGATAGTTAAAAAGTAGTTTCGTGACGAGTCTGGGATCGTAGCCGGTTTTAAATCCTTCGGGATCTCTTTGATAAGGAAATTGGTGCAACAGTCTCGACAGAAACGATTCGCCCAATCCAAAGTACTGCGCCAGTTGACTTTGCACAACGGGCCCGAGTTGCATCGGGTCACCCGTGAGAACCACCTGGCCGTGGTCGGAATGAATGAAATTCATGGGAATCATGATCTCCGGTTCGGTCGCTTGACCCGCCTCGTCGATCAAAATGTGTGAGAAATGGCCACGAGGAAAACCCATGTTGTAAAGTATACCCAACGATGAGCAAGTACCAATGGTAATCCTGTGACGACCCAGTACAGACTTGGTGCAGTTCAATTGCATTCCTCCCTCAGTTTGTTGGTAGCGATCGTGTGTTCCCTCCATGGCTAAATCAGCCGTAGCACAGTAGGGTAACAGTCTCTTGGGAATAACATCGCTTTCCAAACAATGATGAGCTATCAGTCGAACCTATCGCACATATGTACATACAAGAAATAAATACTGTATAAAGATGAAGCTATATAACGATCAATAATATGTGAGCTTTATGATCTCGCTTTCTGTTTTAACATTGCTAGAAAATTCTATTAGCTTTGTAGAGAGAAATTTAATCGGTAAAGAAAAATTATTAACAGAATTTAAAATCTTATGAAATTGTGAAATATTAAAAGGATCATAAAAAGGTTTGTGTGAAAGGAAACCATACCAGATCACCAGGTTTAAGTATGTTACTGTCCAGCAAGCGTTCGGCTATTAAGTTTGCCGCGCTGTTTGATGGTGTTGCTACGAGAAGTCTGCTTTCAGGTATCACAGTTAGAATTTGTAGGATTGTCTCGCACAGAGTGATCGTCTTCCCCGTTCCAGGCGGGCCAAATATAACGTAAGGTAACGGACGCGCTAATCCTTTCAGTATGTTTCTCACTGCTTCTTTTTGATAGTGATTTAATTTCTTATTGAACCAATTTAACTTGCGTTTCTTTATTAGATTGATATATGATTCTAGTTTGTCATCAGACTGAGTGATTGATTTATTTGTGTTCTTTAAGTTTCTTGCTTCTTTAAGTGACGAGTCGACATTGGAAGATTTTTCTGTTATCGACATTCTTGAAGACATTCTGGTTATATTATCAAAAGCAGTATCATTATTAGAAGCAATGCTGCTAAAAGAATCGGAACTGTTAGAAGACATTGATTTGTGACAAACTTGCGTAAGAGTGGATTTCTCTTCGACTTCACACTCCTCCAAATAAAACTGTGGTTCTTTTTGAACTACTTTGGTGGGAAATAGAAAATCGTTTCCGAGATGACCGAGAGCTAAATTAACAGCGTTGTGCAAACGTTGAATCACAGATTTCGAAAAACTAAATGTCACTTGACAACCTTCACTATTGTATTCATGATGAAATTTTTCGTTAAATTTAAGAAAAACTTCCGTGCTTGTGACTTTGTGAATATAGCCTTCATATTTTAATTTTCCTGTTACACACACAGATAGAGAAAATTAGAAATATATACAGTTATTTAAATATTAAAAATAAAATTATTTATATTATAAACTAAAAATATGTACGTAATTATAATTGTACTTATTGTTTTTATACACATGCACACACAATTACTTTTGTATATAAGAAAATCTATCAAAAGATATTTGTTATATATATATATATATATTTTTTTTTTTTTTTACCTTGAGAATTGTTCCATGGGAAAGATATTATAGCTTTATCACCGACAAGGAGAGAAGGTCGTCTTTCTGCTAATCCCAGCACTTCAAGCGCAAGATAATCTCCGCATCGCCGCATGCTTGTACTTTCTATGTTGTATCGTTGTAAGTTGAGTGTTATAGCTATTTCCTCCAGATAGAGTAAGGTGTGAAAACGTTCCTTATATGTTTCGAAAGAAAGTGGTTTTAAAAGACAAGGTATCGTCTCTCCTATAGCAATTTCCATCTCCGTCTGTGATTTTTTATTCTGTACGATATTCACAACTGTATTCCAAACAAATTGCGGCACTCTGAATATTCCGGTACGCACTTGGATAAAATTAGGTGCTTTACACGGTCTTATCCCGGGTATATGTGTAATATCATTATTGAGCTCGTCTATATCAAGTATATTAATTGTCTGATCCTTTCTTTGTGCAATAGATGAAGAATCAGTCTTCCGTGAAATAATTTTGGTATTGACAGTTATGTGAAATAATCTTCCAATTTTAAAGTCTTTAAAATTAAAGACAAACAGTTCTTCGGACGTACCGATAAATTTCGCTTTACACTTGAATGTATATTTAATATTTTCTGAAGGATTTATTACTGCATAAATATCTGTATTTATCGGTGATTCTAATGACAATTGAGATGGAGCATTCTGTCGCATAAACGAGCCACCTTGCAACATGTGAGTATAACTGCCATTATTTTGTATTACAACCGTCAAAGTACTTTCTTCTTCTATATGCAAATTAAATTTCAATTTATCATCTATAATAATACCATATTTGTTTTTTAGCAAATCATTGGGATCTGATACTATTGCAGAAAAACTGTTTGTAATTGATAATTGATTGGATCCTTGCAAATTCTGAAAGTTTGGAAAATTGTAAAATAAGATAAATATTTAGAAATTTATTATATTTATTATAATTTATTATTCAATATAAGATATTAAAGTTGTTACCTGGATTAATGGAACTACATTTAGTGATCTCCAGCTGTATAGTCCTTGATCGCTTTCTATGCTATCGCTCACCACTTTATCACCAACACGAGGAATGTAACCTGGTTCACATGCGCGTTTATGAAATATCACTTGCTTATCAATTATTCCTACTTCGCTGTCATAATTATACTTCGATATTATACCGACATCCAGTTTAGATCGTAACGGGGTGATTTTATCCACCTCCAAGATTTCGCCGCTCAAATCCGTAGAATTGTCATTTAATTCAACCAAGGACTCTAAGACCAACCAATCGCCAATTAAGGGAATAAAATCAGATTGTACTTTGCTTAAATCAACGCGAATATTATTTGGCTTGACAATAACAATTCGGCCTTCGCGATTTGCTACTTTGGCAACTATACTTCTTGGTATCATTTGAGTGTGAACATCCTCTGATTTGGTATTTGCATTATCCCAGGATTGGTCGTCTATCACGCAGATAATTTTCTTTACTATTGGCTTTTCATTTGAATCTCGCTTAAATGCCATATATTGAACTTTATCACCAATTTTTAGATTAGTTGAGTCATTGTTCTGTTCATACATATGGCAATCATCGATGAGGATGTAACTTTGAGTGATTTGAGTGACACATCCTGTCTTGTAGTAACATCCTGCTTTGTCTAATTTTTCCTCTTTCTCTGTAATAATATCCGTATTTTCTTCTGCATGCTCTATGTGAGATATGACTTCATTAATATCTTCTATTTCAGTTTTATCTGAGGATGAACGCTTTAGAACATACTGAAAGGTGTTGTAAATTAAAGACAGCATGTTTAATTTCTCTGACTCCTATCTAGGTACCTATAAATACGTCAAGATCCAAATAAAATTGTTCAATATAATCAAGCAAAATTACCAAAAAAAGCAATAGGAAAAAAAGATACAAAAAAACCTAGTACATACCTGTCTATAGGATGGTATCTCCACTCTGTTGCTTTGAGGTAATCTAATTCTTTTCTTAAAGATTGTACACGTTTAGCATGTAGATCTTTCAGGAATCGCTTGCGTTGTTTTTGCTCCTGCAGCTCAGATCTCATCTGATTTAGTATCTTGGATGTTTGAGACGCACTGGAAGTCAATTCCGAGTCCTGAGATTCTGGTGTTCTCTGTCCTGTTGAGTGTCCTAAAGTGCTCGGCGATAAGGTGGATGAATTCATAATTCTATGTGCGTGTCGTCTTAAAAAGACCGGTCATTTGTACCGCATGTATACGTGTGTATGTATCAAGAATTTAACCTAAAACTTTCGATGAGAGCTCCATTACATACTGCAAGTGTGTGATATTTACATATGCTATATACAAAAATGTATTATTCTATAAGATGAATAATATATCTTATATTGATAAAACTCAAGAGTGGAGATGCAAAATATATATACATATATTTCAAGATTTAATAATTTATGTGATTTCAGACTATGCCATAAAGCGAGTTTTTACAGTATAAAACTTAATGTCTAAATCACATAAAACAATGATCATTATGTGGAATTCATACTTAATCCAATAAAAAAATGTGGCTTAAGGATTCTAGGGAATAATGGAAGATTCATAAGGTCTGTTTTTTATAGCTGAACTGGCTGCACTAGTTCAGAGTTTATCTTTCTCCTTCCAATGTGGAGGGAAAAAGATAAACTCTGAACTAGTACAGCTAGTTCAGCTATAAAGAACAGACCTATACTGTGTTCATTAAGATGCAGTGTGAATGCTTCATAACAACACTTTTATCACTTTTATCTGCACTAGTTCAGAGTTTATCTTTTTTCCTCCACGTTGGAAGCAGAAAGATAAACTCTGAACTAGTGCAGCCAGTTCAGCTATAAAGAACAGATCTTATGATTCTGTGAAAGAAGTGAAGTCAATTTGTAGCAAGTGAAATGTTATTACGGCGTGTTATTTTATTCACATGTGATTAAACACATTATCAATATTAAATTTCTTTAATCATGAGTGCGCAAAGTCAGTTGCCAAATCTCGATAAAATTTTTCGAGATGATGATGAGCCTGATTTTGTACCTTCTGGAGGGTATGTATTGTAATTACTACAATACATTGTAGTAATCTAATAATTAAACGATAATTCTGTTTTGTATTTTTATTTTTTCTATACAAAGTTTGAGTATATACATTTATTTTAAATATGAAAAGTACAAAATCGAATAATTTCAGTAGGCAAAACAACTTTGTCAATTATTGTCCTATTAATTTTAATTTTCAGTTTTGCAATTATTTAATAAAAATGTGTTTCCTCTATATTATGATTTTTATTTAAATAAGCTAAATTTGTTTTTGTTCTGGTAATTTTTATCGTGCACATTAAAGGTAGATTTGTTTATCGCAACGAATATATTATAATTCTTGTGTTTTAGGTCTAATTTAGCTGCTATTTTTGGGTTACAACCGAAGCTTCCAGATCCTCATTCTAAACAAACAGCTCCCAAGAAAAATAATACTCGATATAATATACAGCAAAATGCACCATCTACCAAGACAGAAGTTTTGATAGCTAAAGCTGTATATGCTTTTAAATTGTAATTACATCATTGCTAAGAATATTCTTTAGTTTGCATTCAATATAAAATAATAGGCATATGAGGTCATAATCTTATATATATTTGTTTTATGAATCAGTACTAATAATAAATATGATATAATTATTTTGCAGGCAAAATGGTCAATATGTTTCCATTGGAAAACTTGGTATGGCATTGTCAGGCAATCTTACGACAAAACTATATCAGGTAATTTTATACAAGAACAAGCAAGAATATGTATCTGTTGCCACAGTGACACATGAATTTGTATATACTATACAAGCAAACAATTATGCCAGCTATTACGACAATAACAAAGATAATTGGTCTATTTCATTCGAGAATAATGACAGTTATCTGGAATTTGCAACAGAAGTAGGACTGGCACGTTACTTTGTAACACAAGAAAGGGGAGAGAATGTGATTTACCAAGATTTAATGCCAAGCAGTAAAGATGTGATTGCGAAAGAAGGAGATAATATATGCATTAAATATTTCGTAGCAACTGAGATAGTACAACCTTTTAAAACAAATTTTGTGATGTCACAAATGACTGTAGAAATATCGACGGACGAGAATTGGGAGAGACTTCTTCTGGGCACTGGCAAGGGTCTGAAACGAGTTTTATTCTTACCTCCTAGCAAACAGGTAGTTGAACAAATTTCTAGGGAATCTTTTATGTAACAATCTTGTCCATTAAATAGATTTACATAGATTAGTTTAGGTCCTGGATTTCCTAAAGAGAGAGATATTATGCTAATAATAGAAATAATGGATATACGAGTACCGGAAGAAAATCCGCCTGCATCCAAAAGCTCCACAAGTGAAAAAGCTGCTATAATATCAAGAATGGCAAAAATGGGTCAGTCTATCTTACCAAAAATGCCTGTATTATCCACTACTGACTCTGAAGATACCGAGGTACTGTTATTAATATTTTTACTATATTATTACTGTTAATATATTTATAAATTTCTTGAATAAAACATATATGTTATTTTATCTTAATTTGAAAGAAGTATTATTATTTTATAGGATGATGCGCCTCATAAACCTCATCACAAAAAGGTTAGTGATAATTTAAAAATAAAAAAAAAAATTGTGTTTTGTTAAAATATTGGACATTCATTAGATTGAGCAATCGGAAGGAATTTCGCAGAAGAAGAATTTGTCGCACGAGTCATTAGAAGAAAAGAGAGCCGCCCGGAAAATTGTGGAGACAAAAACTGAAATGCCTTCTATAGATTCTAGTATGTACAAGCCATTGGTTGCTGCACCCCCATTAACACAACAGTGGTCACCGTATTATGCTGTACGAATAGTTCTTTTCTACATTTAATAAATACATTTAATAAATAATACACAACGTTATGCAATAATAAAATGTGATTAAAATTAAAGGGTCATTATGTAACGATGGACAATCAGATGTATCCTGTACAGCAGACTCTAAATCGTACAATACCAACCGCTCTAGATCCCGGGATTAATATGTTGCTATCAGAAAGCAGAGTAGCAAATGCGGAAATACGAATGGGAATGTCCAAAGTATCCGATAATGTTCAAAAATTATTGGATAAGGTATGCATATGGATAATGCGATGATTACGAGATTTATATATTACGAGAATTATAAAATCTGGTATGTGTGTAGTTTCATGCTCTCGAGCTTCAAAATGCAACAACTCCTACCATCGAAAAAACAACTTTGGATACCTCTTGGAAAATGTTTTTAGCTCTCAACGCATCTCAGACGGCAATAAAAGATAATGAATTGCCAAAAAGTATCGCTAAAGACATATCAGATGAGAAAGTTCAGGAGGCACAGGGCAGAATAAGTGCTTTAGAAAATGATCTAGAAAAATCAAAAGGTGATTATCTAAGATAAGGGAAATAATATTAAGCAATAACAGAGTCATAACAGATTGTGAATTATGCAAGTTTAATAATTATTGAATTTTACGCTATTGCAGAAGAGAAGAAATCATTGTTACAAATCAACGAAGATATGAATAAAAGACTACAAGAATTAGTAACAGAACTGACTGATACAAAGGACGAATTGAAGAAAACCAAAGAAGCTTTAGAAGTAGCTAAAAATACAATTAAACAGTGTAGAGACGAAAATGTTCATTTAGAAGATAAACTTTCTAAATGTAATAAAGAGCAGATTCTTCAAGCCGATGCAATATTTTCCAAACAGAAAGATGTAATAATCACATTTTCTAATTGTATATCTTGTTTTTTATTACTCATTTTTATATAATTTGCTTATTTCAATTACAGATTGAACAGAAGAACAAAGAAATTAAGCAAATAATGAATAAAACATATCATACATTATCAGAACGACTCGCAGATGAATCACGGTCTGAATTATCTTTTGATTATGTGAAGTCAACTATCGCAAATACAATAAAGGTAAGAAATATATAATAAAAATATATACTTACTAAGTCATTATGTTAATAAATTCTCATTCACGTTTTGTATTTAGCATATTACTTTACAAGTATTATATGAAGATTCTGACGAAGAAGATAAAGAATTTAAAACAAATAAAGATATGATCGGCATAGATACTAAAATTATTGACCAGCAATACGAACGAATTGAAAAACCAGTATTACACGCAACTAACGATAATATCTCAATAAAACGCTCGGACACTTCAACATCTAATACGGTAATTACATTGGTACCTTTTTCTAAAAGGATTTATATATCATACAAGATGTATATTTCTATAAAAATAAATCTGAAATTTTTTTTCTAGATCATGCCTATATTTGAACATGAACCACCACCTGTTCCACTTGATGGCATTGATGAACTTGATAGTGATTGATTGATTGATTGATTCTCATACTAGTCGATTTTTTAATATGCCATTATTTCATGCTGCAAGAAAACCATATTACTTCATAATATATTCACTATTTTTAAGATACCTGCATATACATATCTAATACATATGTATTTTTTAATCTATTTTATTTCTAATAAATTGAGTAATACAAAATTTTGTATCAGTTAAATTTTGGGATCTAATAAAAGATATTTTTATTATAAATATATATAGTGTCGTGTTATTTTTGATGTATTTATTCTGTGATACAGAATATTACACACATGGAACAAATACATAATTTATACAACGATCAGGGGTGTCAAAAAAGTATATATATGATTATAGTAAATTATTTAATAATAAAATAATCATTTTATAAAATAAAACATAAAATTACTTACAATTTAGAAATTAATAATATTTGCTACTATTTGCTGATATATGAAAGACTAATCTCTGCTTTGATTTGTTTCACCTTGTCCACCATATTTTTTATATTTTTTCCCCTGTAAAAAAAAACAAAAGTAATGTATCACTGTTTGATAAACATATTAAATTAAGTTCAATTTGTTTTTACAAATTCTGAATTAAACATTAAAATAATTATTTATACGTACATTTGGGCAAGGTTCTCCTTTACTGCTACCTCTTGATTACCTGAAAAAACAATTTCTTTCTTCTCGTTGAGTTCGGTATTGTTTGTAGATGTGGCTTGTTGCGCAGCTTTTTTCTTCAGCTGTTCAAGTCGAATTTCCATATCGTGTAACTTTGTATGAATCTTCTTCAAATCTTCCGCCTCCGTTCGCTCAACAGCCGTCATTGAAGGTTGTTTGTAATTTACCAGTTTTAGAACTTGCTCTGCTCTGAAAGTGTAAACTTATATACATTTTCCGCAATAATTTAACGGTTTATCTCCATTTATCTTGAACAGAAACAATACTATACTTCTGTAAATTCCTTGTCGAAACATTGATGAACAACATTGTTGCTAAACATTGTTGAAATAATTAAATAGTATACACACCTACGCGCACAATCTTTTTGTCTATCATTTATATCTTCATATTTTTCAGCTAAACGTTCGGCGGTTTGTCGCAATTCTTTCTTCGTCCCTATTATAGTATCAGCTTCTTTCAATAAATGAATTTTTAAAGCTTTCAAAGTGCGGACCTTCTTATTGCTTTCTTCCCGGACTTTATCGTGTCGGGCAAAATGTTGAGTACGAAAAATATTGGTAGCATGATATAACAACTGAAATATAATATATTCGGTTATTATACAATTACATATATTCTTTTATCAATTAGGCTCATATAAAATTCTTATATCTAGGCTTACTTCTAGGGATTCGCTCAAAGACATTGAGCGGGATCCTATTTTAGTTATAGGTTGCGATATTTCGCGTTTCAATAATTTTTTTATATACACGTCAAACGGTTCCTTGTTCACCTGAAAAAAATCAATAATATATTTTTTATTAATACTAAAACATAACGTTGCTTGTGCTACACGCGCCTTTCCTTTCCAAATCCTTTAAGTAGTTCAAAGAAGAAAGTTTGAAATATAAGAGCAAATGTAAAAACTCTCAAAATAAATTCTCTTTATTTGGAATATTATAATACAATATTTAGTTATTGATAATTACTTTTTTTGCGAACGTTGACGATAGGTTCTAATTGCTCGATTCTTGGGAGGTAATAAAGATCTATAACCGAGAGATCGATAACGATGCCCGTGTGCAGTAATGCGATTAACACACAGGGTTCTTGAAGAAGACCGAAACCGAGTATCGGCGTAGCTTCGTCTGTGCTTGTGTGCTTTGTCCTCGTAGAAAAAAGATATTGTAAAGTCGAATGATTTGACAAAGACTGGTTCTCGTCGTTATCTAAAAAAAAAAGAAATATTTGTTAAACAAAAAATATTACATAAAAAATATTCGATTAAGATATAGAAGCAAAATTTGATTTTATTTAATCTCTTTTAATTCATTTTTTTCTTTTATCTTTGATAAGAAGTAAATCAATAGTTTATTATTATGTATATATAATAAAAATCCCAATGGTTTACGAGGCTTGTACACATAAAGTCAAACAAAACTCATAAAGTAAAAAATGTTTTGTTTCTACGTCTTTTTTAATAATATAAATATACTTACCAAGTACAATATCTTCCAGTTGAGAAACCATCGGTAAACTCACCATGTGAATACCAGCATTGTGAGAGCAAAAATATCTAATGTAAGCAAATAATAATAAATAATTTAGCTAATCAATAATTCATTGATATAATGTAGAATAATAAGCTTTACTTATATCGTTGTCGTCGAGAAAAATCAATTTTTAATTCATGAACAATTTATAAATGTAAAAAAATTACAATAGTTAGAATGTTTTGTATATTATTTCTATTTGTACCGCGATTTGTTGCCCTTATCACAATGAAGATGGACAGGACAATTATATTTCTTATCATCGTCCGTGAAGAGGAGACCCAGTTCCAGTTCGACACACTCGTAGACGTAAAGTGCGTCGTCCGGTGTATGAAGACTATAAGTTGAACCATATTGCGACCAAGTCTGGTAAAAAGAGAAAAATATGCATAACGAGAAATAAAATCTGTCATAGAATTTAAATTCGGAAGAAAATATACATTTTTTTAATAATTTAAATTTGAGCTATTTTTGACTGACGATACATAAAGAGTACTGACGTAATAAAAAATCCACATAAAAAAAAATATGCATTAACTAGACGCAGAATATATGCACAGATTAAATAGATATTTATCGTATGTCCATACCTTTCTGTCCATCTCGTCGTCGTCCAATATTTCGCGCAGCAGTATTGCGTGATAAATTTTTCCAGTGCACATGGCGATGACTACTATCGGCGGGGTTGTTTGCAGGCACATGATAGAGCATGAATCTATTCCGTAATTGTCGACGGTCGACGGATACATAGATAGCGAGCCAAGAACCACTGGGTCTTCGTAACTTGAAACAGTTAAAAGCACAGTTAAACAGGAAAAGTATCAGTGTTATTAGAGATACAAATTTGCCATCGTAAATTGAGCTTGTTAAGTAATTTATATAATATATAAACAATTTATATAATATATTTTACTGTGTTTTATTTATATTTATAAGATAATATTTTGTTTGTACTTACTTTTCTAATAAAACGTTGCCGCGGACAATCAGTACTTCGCCGTTTCCGCGAAGAACTAAGATCGGCCACTCGATTTGATTCCAGTCGATTATGTCCTTTATCTAAAAGTTATTCGAAATATTATATATATATATATTGATGAATACTAAAATATCAGTTAATATCGATCAATTAAAATCAGTATACTTTATTAATGAATCGAAAATGAGAATTGAAATTTTCTTATATATATATACCTACATTCAAATATTATGAACAAAGTAGGAATTTTAAAAGAATATATGTTCGTCTCAATTCACAAATTCGTGGATGCGATAATCGGTATTCATACTTCATCGATGCCCATGTTGGCGAACATTTCCGGTTTCCTCAGAGTAGGAGTCACGAAATCAAAGTCCACCGCGGTCTCGCCGAGGGACGTAAAGTCTGGGATCTTCGAGGGCGAGTCCGATGGTGTACGGCCGACCTTCCAGCATTTTATGAGTCTTGGTGCACCTCCCAGTTCGCACTCGTATAAACTGTGGAAAAATTAAGTGCAGCTTAAGGTCAGTGCGGCGACATTTTTAAAGACGCTTCGCGTAAAGCCTTCTAAAGTTTAGTTCGTAAACGTTTTTCTTACTTTTAAGCCCTATCTAACGCAAGGAGTTAAAAACACGAGTTTAAGTTATGTCGCGTTGTTCTTCTCGAGTTCCGCAGTTTGCTGTAATTAGAATGGCAAACTATACTTCTTTAAATGAAAAGCAAAACACTTTTGCTTCAACATGTAATACAGATATGTATGTTTCGTTAATAAAATCGATAAGATTGATAAACAGTTTCGGCGAGTTAGAAATAATAGTGCAAGATAAATATATTCTAGTTAAATAATTTTGCTTTCGGACAATCGCATTTGTGATTTGTTTTAATTACCGGAAAGAATTTTCTGATGTTAAAACCAATAAATGTGAGTCATTCGTGGAACCCGGATGCCATCGCACTTGTAGAATTTCTGTAGTTGCTCCAAAATCGCCAAAGTTATGATTTCTGTAATCAGAAAATACAAATAATAACATGTAGCATCGACAATACATTTCGATTACTTCTCTAAAAATTCTAAATCATTTCTGATAAACAATTTAATCATATTAAATCATTTAGTGAACTTGATTTTGCGGGATAATCGAAAACAACTTCGCCGTGATCAGCGCCGAAGTAATTATATGACACAATTCGTAATTAAATACTAATCATTGCATTCGTAAAAAAATTTTATGTAACGCATGTGATGTACAGTAAACAGTACGATTTATCATTTACAATTAATTAAAAAAGAACAATTAAAACATAGATGAAACTTGTCACATATATCAATTGACTACTCTGTTTGCTTTTTATGATTAGAACAAAAGCAATTAAAATATTTTACGAATGAGAAATATCGATCCAAACTGGACTCGTGCCTAAGCAAGAAGAGAAGCATTCGGCCGTGCGGATGAACATTAATGGCTTTATAATCTAATGAATTTTTAGGTTGAACGCTAGAAAGGATGAGCAGGAAATCCAGATAGGTTTTTCCCCGGGATTTATTGCTGAAAAAGAAAAGACGGGGGGGACGAGGAGAACATCCATCGCTTATCTCTCGTTTGTCGGTGACTTCGGATGGATGAATACCGAATCGTCTCCAAATTTATCTTCATAAATGTAATAATTATTTAATTGCGAGGAAATATTTAATTAATAAAATAATTTAATTTTTTGCCTTTACTTTTCAATTATCAACTTTATTCTCACAGAATCTTTTAAAAAAATCATTTTTTCTAATTACATCTTTATGTATGTTTCGCGTAATGTTTAAAAAGAATTATTATATTATCAGAATTCTTGTTCTCAAAGTGTTGTTATTATCTCCGTTCTTAAAAGATAATCTTTTGGATTAAGCGGCTTTCCGACCTTTCTTTAGAAGACTTGCTTAATTCGTCTCAATGTATAAACTTATAATAGTTTGTTCACGTATTTAATTCACTTATTTATAGAAAAAAATTATGAAATTCGGAATCTTAAGAGCAGACGAGTGGGTCGCAGAAACAAAACGAATGATTTAAATGCAATAACGAGTAATACGCAGAGAAGTTTCCGAGAACAAAATGATACGACACCGTGTAAGATCTACTTTGAACTCAAGTCCGTGCAGTTCTTTGTACAAATTGCGAAAAAAGCGCAGTGCAAAAAGCGCGTCCGCCGCTACCGGGGTTAATACGTTTACGTAGGAAAATTATTTTTAATTTTTCTAGACGTGCCTTGGACTGAAAAGAAGGGGGGGGGAGAGAAGGAGAGAAAGGTGATGTCGGGACACGAGGGTGTGGCAGAATTGCGCAGCACTGCCGAGTAAGAATTTCTTAATTAGATTCGAGCAGCTGCGCGGTCTTTCGTTCTTTTGTTTTTAGCGAAAAATTTCCAGTAAGTTGCGATGGCGGTACCTGGACCAGGCCGTACTCGTGGCGAAGAATTTCGAGCTTTATTATGTACACGTTTTTACTGGTCCCAATTTAAGATGAGCTCGATCTCACAAATTGCTTCTTGCTACAACGAAGTGCGTTTTACATGCTTTTCGTTTTAAGAGCAATGTCGCAGTTGAGTGATTCTACTTATCGTATATTCAAAAAATGACACTATGGGATTGCTTTTATATATTTTTATCTGCTGGATTACTTTCACGGAACGCGTGCAATATTTTAAGCAGTAATATATCTATTTTATTTAATATAAACGACTCGAAATAGATATTTATGATATCTCTCTTGAAATCTTTTTTTTTTTTTGGCGCCAGTGCCAACGAATATCGAATACATAACGGTGGTTGTGAGCGCCCTTAAATGCGTTAGTCCTGTTGCCATTCATTTTATTTAGGAATATTCAACGCCATCGAACGCAGCATCTCCGTGAGCACAGCGCGGTAATCAAGACAGCTTAACACCTATCAGAATACGCGCGTGAGCGCGCCTGGCCACGCGCGTGAAGGGATAGGCATAAATTCTGATAATTCCGAAATTGTGACAGAACGAAGAAAAATTCCCGGGAGAGGTCGCGGTGAAAAGTGCGAATAAATCGTTGCGTATGCCTTTGTCAACGAAACGGTGGCGAGTAGGGCGGACACAGGAGGGTTGGAGCCGCTGGGATGAGAGTCGCCACCACCACCGCGCGTCTGGCCTTTTTTTCGTCCTGTTCCCGTCCTCCCGCGGCCCCGCTGTGCCCCATCCCTATCTTTCCCCCGTTCTCGCTCTCGTTCCCTCTTTACCGGTGCGTGCGTACATTTTTATCAATTATTAAGAACTCCTAGCGCTTGTGCTGGTGGCCGTGTCGCCGTTCTGCGCGGGACGTATGTACTAACGGGGTGTCGCGCGGGGGTGTATATCCCGGAGACCGTTGTGTGCCGGTGATACCCGATGCCCAACTGTCTTTTTCTCTCCGGGCGCGAGCCTTTTGCTCGCTTTTTCTGGCATGCCGCGGACATTAATAACGGCCACGGGCTAACCACCGCCGTCAACCCCCTTGCCAACGTTACCGTGTCCAGCCGCGGAAAGTGCGAGAGTAATAATAAAATATACGAAATGTAGGCGAGAGCATCGTTGCGCGAGTGAGCGAGCGAGCGAGCGAGCGAGCGGGCGGGCGGCGGCCGCGCCGAGGCCGACAAAACAAACGTCGTGACGTTACGGTGTACCTTTCATTGTCCGCGAAGGTACGCGGATCTCCTCGCGTTATAATAATTTAGAGCGACGCTGCGAGCCGCGCCGCGGGTCCTGATTTTAGCTTAATAGAACGCCGCCAGTTTGGCCGGCTTGCTGCACTGCGTGTTTCTCGCGAGATTGTCATTATTCTCGTGGACCGGAATTACAACCTGCTGAGACCGCAAAATTATGAGAATTTGTATCGGAGATTTATATTGATATAAAAATAATTTTGTGATTTCAAGACTGATATATTGGTTCAATATAATATTCCGCATAGCTATTCTTTTAATTTCATTGAATGAATTTATATTGAGATCTAATACAAATTTTTTTCTCCAAGAAATTAATTTTTATGTTAATCACAGAGGTGTCAATCGAGTAGTTAAATGTTATCAAAACTTTTTCCAACTGCGGTGTGATTGCGTTCGATGAAAAGCGCAGATTTCCAGAATTAGATCTCTTTGCGTGAACCTCAAGATGCATCTTTGATATTATTGCACGTCGAGCAAGCTGTCACACAGTTTTTGCATCGGTGTGCGCTTTTTACGTAACGATTATACACTTCGAACCCCTGCAGAGACAACATTCAACCGCTTAATTCCGCCCGGCGGCTCGTAACGGCGTAATATCGTTCAGTTACTTGGAATATTTTTATTACATTCTCGCGGAAGCGAGGAAAAGGACGGCTAAGACTAAGGGGTTGGTCGGTAGTGGGGTTGGCTTCCGGGCCTGCCAGGCTATGCTCACGATATAACGAGGGCCATTATGATAAGCAGATGCATAGATTAGACATTACTCGTTAACCTGCCTGCGCGCGAAGCTCGAAGGACATAGCCGTGTGTTATCAAAGGAGCTCGATGAGAAATTGACGATCACGATGATCCTAATTACAATTTGTCGCATAATTATTTAATTTATTGTTTCAAGCACATAAATATACATTTCTGTCACAATTTTGTTTCTCAAATTTAGATATAAATCTTGATAAGAAAAATGATTGAATAGCTTTATATTATTATATTGTTTCATGTAATGACAATTAATGTAACGCGTTGTTTGGCATGTTATTCTAATTTCGGACACAAAATGGCGTATGACAGTAAGACGTTTCATCGCTAAATAGCGTCGCGATCACCGATCAATTCGCGACTCCGGATTTCGCTATGTTCAAGTACACGTAATTTCGCTCATCGGTGCTCGTTATAATAACAGCCGCGTTATGGAACGGAAGTTGGCGTTCTCTCCACGAAAGGGGACGGAAGACGCCCCGCTCGTCCGAGGGCGTGGGGGCGGCCCATAAAATCGGGATGTTGCGCAAAATATAACGACCGACGTTCTCCTGGCACTGGCTGACGCTCCCATCGTAATTCATCCTGACTCTCGCTTGCCTTCGCCTTTCCGACGACACCTGCGTCGGCAACTAAGCCCGTTAATTCTCGACGCCGCGGCGCGCCTAACAGCGTCGCGCATCGCCCTGCCATCGGCTCTCGCTGGGAAGCCGGCTTCCCGGTTGCACTGTCCTGACACGTTCCGGTTCTTGATCTTCGCTGGTACTTAGCCCCGTAGATAGCGCGCCGTGTTTGCCCCGATGACGAGGGCGTCAAGCTTCGTTGCGTATTTTGTGGCGGTACGCGGCGCCGGCATGCATACAGTATTTGGGCGCATAAGATGATTATGCAATATTTAATATGCGTAGATTATAAATGTCACTTGAGAACGATTGATCGAAAGAATTCCGAGAATTGTGTCGTATAAAAAGAAGCAGTCGCTTGAATTTGGATTTAGTTGCTAACAAAATTGATGATTAAATCTTAATTCGACGAATTGAAACTTATGTGCGACAATCGAAGCTTTAATTCCATCTCTTCGCAACTGATAAAACTTCTTCTTTGTAATGCTGGAAATTTAGATCACGAAGAATTAATTAATTCGGCGGTATCTTATTTTTTCTAAAGAGCGAAGGAATCAGATTGTGATATCGACTTTGTGAAAAGGCGTGTCTTTAGACATGAAGAAACGTGCAACTGAAAACGCACGGAATGGACGTAGGTGAGCGCAACACACGGCTACGACGGAAAACGGCAAACAAAGGATACCGAGTCCAGAGAGTGCGAGAATAGAAGTGCTCGACCACCCCAGACTGTCGTGCGGGTGCCCCGTAGCTAGCACACGTACCGCTGTAATTAAAAGAACCGACAGATGCCTCTCTCTCTTTCGCCGTCGGCTTTTATTTCGTTATGTGAAACGACGACGACGACGAAGCCAACGACGACGACGACGACGACGGCGGCGGTGGCGACGACGACGACGATGACG